TGTGTGTGTGTGTGTGTGTGTGTGTGTGTGTGCTATTTACATCTTTTGGTTGTGCTTAAAATATTTTCTTGTCATTGTTTTGTGGCATTCAAGTCTTATAGCAGCTGCTTCAGGAGAGAACACTGAAGAGAGATTCAGCAACAGGTACATCTGAATAACTCCTCACAGAATCCAGAAGGCACTCATTCAAACAATTTGAAGAAGATTTGTTTGTCTTTTACTCATTTGCAAACCTCCGTGGAAAATTGCCATTTTTCATGATTGCCTTTTCCCATTCTGCAAAATATAGCTGAATGTGTTTTTAAAAAGGGCTTTGCTGCACCCATAAGGCCTTAAGCAGGCAGCAGTGTATTTCCACAGCCTTTCTACTATCCCTAAACCSTCACTCCTACCTCTTTGCTTCTGGCTGTAAAAGGATCCATACTCTCCCTCTGGCTCATTCCTTCTATTTTCCTCTGTGGAGAATCCCCATGTCTACATTTTTCTTTTGMGTTTTAACATGGCAGGGATTAGCCTGCATATCCCTGGTCTTACTACGGCTCAAACAAGCAGGCAAAATGCTTGCTCCATACAAATTGAAATTGGATTTGCCAACTTGACGCCTTAGGTTATAAAGCATGGATATTCATCTAATTGCAACAGTACAATGGGGGCGTAATTACACATGCAGACAAACTGTTACAGTGTAATTACTGTGTCATTGAAACAGGAATAAAGTACATTTGAACAAGATCCAGACCACTATGAATTCGAATCGGGACAAACACAGTACAGCAGGCTATTATAAATCAGAATCAGTCCGGAAATTATCTGTGATGGAAAGAAAAAAGACTTACCAATTTATTATTTTATTTTTATTTACTTTTTGTGACATACATTTAAATTAACTATAAAGACAAACACTGAAAAGCAGCGTGCACAAGTTTGAAAATAATTACAGATTTGATGCAATGTTTTTATTGACTTGCAATCTAACATGAGTGTATTTCAGTCCACTTTACAAACACGATAAGCTATTGTTAGAAAATAAAATGTACCTAACTTATGGATGCAAACATCTGGCTATAAATACATTTTGTGAAGAAAATGTTAAGAATAAATGACAAAAAAGCATAAAATAAAATAAATTAAATTAAATAAAAACTTATCCAACAAACAAACCAGAGTTTTAAAAGAGCAAAATGCACATCAAGTGTCTTTTTTGTAAACCTCACAAACCCCAAGAGATGCATAATAGTTGATTAATCTGTTATTTTTTTTCAATTAATTGATTAGTTGATTGATCACTGTCATTTCTGTCACAATGTCCATCTGCGCTTCCTTTGGGCATGCCTCCTGTTCCAGCTCCAGTGCACATCTCATCTCATCTGCCTGTGAATGTTACTCTGTTATCCAGACTTTCTACCTAAACATAAGTTCTCATAGCAAATTAAAATAATGACCTATAAAACTTAAGCTTAATAGCTTAATATGTCTAACATTAATATGTGTGGTAAACTGCAAATAGTCTTTTAAACAAACAGCTAATGTAGAAATAACTCAAAATAACAGCCTCTCCAGCATGAGTGGCTGTTAACCTGCCCTGCTGCATGTCCAAAATAAACTGAAGAATGACTTTAGTTAAAGAGATATTCAAGTGCATAAAAGTAAAATAAAAAAAATAAATAAACCATTTTGTTTGAAATCATGATGGATCTGGCTGTCCAAATGTTCAAATTAGACCACAAAAAAAAGACAAACCGGGAGAAGACGATAATTCCCTGATCAGATGAACTTAACACTTTAGCATAACAAATACTTCTGCTTCCAAGAAACACTGTTTTTTGATGGTAAACTAACACAAATTATAGACAGCTGACAATTGACTATAGCATGAAGCGGTCAGTCACTGAAAATAAGAGATGTAGCATCAACGTGACAAACAAGCTAACTTCTGAAACACACTCATCTGCAGTGGACATAATCACGGGTCCAGACCAGTGTGTTCATGTTTGTTCTGCCACTGTCTTGCCATGGAATGACTGCATTTTACTTTCTTAGGTTGATTTTTGGTAAGACGTGGGCAACTTTTAAAAGTTTGTCTTGTTTTGTTTTGTTTTATGTCTTCTACAATGTGATTGTCTTGTYTTTCTTTTCTGATATTATTGTTGCTCTTTGATGTGCCCGCTGCAGCTTCTTCTGTAGCTCGCAGGCTGGCACCTCTTCTTCTGTTGTAAACAATGCAACCATAGACAATAGAAGCAATTCTGCCCTCATCAGATTGTACATTTCGTTGCAGAGACAAACGAGCATTTACATGGTTAACTAATACGAATATTCAACTATTTGTTATAATCAATGTAATCAGTTATTTCAAATAATCAGTGCAGCACTAATCTCCTCATTTTCTATACATGCTGTTCCTATCTCCAGCATTCATTGGGCTAGAGGTACTCCCTGGTCAGGTTGTGACTCCTTCATGGAGATGAACAATCATATATTGATTTAAATTATCTAATTAAACTAACATGCATGTTTCCAAACCGTGGGGTAAATTAGTGGTACTTGGAGCAGACCTTTGCA